GTCCAGCCAATCAGCCACGAGTGGGGGCGGGGCTGCGGGAATCCCTGGAGCTGCCCTGTGACCTGGAAGGGTTGGCCTACGAGCTGGTCAGAGCTGGGGTTGCAGGTAGAGGTGTCAGCCTCTTAGCTGAGGCATCTTTCCATCCTCGTATTCCCGCTATAGACTCTGGAGGCCCAGTTTCCAGGGGCAGAAGGAGGTTGGTTCCTTCTCCTACACACTCTCCACTTTCCACATGTTCCTTTATCTTCCCCCATTGAAAAAGTCCAAAAGGGCTTTGGCAGCAGAAAAACCTTCCCATCCAAACGTGTGGCTTCGACTTCGGCTGCCCACTCACTGGGAATCTGATGTCTGCTATCTCTTTTCCACATCTGTTAAAATGGAGAACTTTGCACCAGTAAAAATGGATATAAAACACCTTCCCATCCAATCTCAGGGTGATTATGCACCCAAATAGTTATGTGAAAATGTGTTTTTGAAAATGATGATAACAATTCAGATGGAAGAAACTCATATTAGCAGATCCCTGGGTGTGAGTGGCTCTGCTGCAGAAGGACGAACAGGTGGGTGGTGAGGGAACCAGAGCTGGGGTGTAAATTGTGAGGGGCTCGAGTCAGGATGGGGAGTATCCTGTCGCAGAGGCTCAGGGTCAGAATCCTGAGTGATCAAGACTTACACTGGGAAGGGGCGGGAAGGGCAGATCTGGGCAACTGCTAGACTGGGGAGTGGTACAGTGTAGCACATAGAGGGGGCGGTGATTAAACTGCAGACCTGCCACGCGCATCCTTTACCACCCTGCTCCTTTCAGCATGCTGTTTAGTTTCTTTTCTCTTGGATTTTGCATCCATATAGTAAGGGTCAAGCAGAATACCATCCTCCAAGTGGTGTGGGTATGGAACAAGTCAGCGTACATAAAAAGTATTGAGAACTGCGTCTGGCTCCTGGCAACTCTCGGGACATGTTAGCTCTCCTTGTTGTTGTTACTCAGCACAGAAGATGACGTTAAAGTGTCAGTTAAAGCACTTCATAGCTCAGCCCCCTGGTGACCTGGCTCGGGAGCCCAAGTATAAGGATCAAGCAGGGAAAGGACATGTCATTTCCCTTAGAAGAACAAGCCAGGTGGCTGGATAGCCTCCTGTCTGTTGGGCATATGCACCACGTCCTTCCACCCGAGAAGAGGAGGCAGGCTCTGGTGTGGGGTCCAGTGTGAGAGTGTTCCTACCATGGGGAAGATCAGAGAGGAATGTTTCCCTCACTTCGGGGGAGATCCTGCTCTGAAAAGATGCCACTCTGAATCTGTCGCCTTTCCCGTGGGTGGGCATCGCCCATTATCATTGACTCTTATGAGTTTCCATCCCCTCCTGAAGAGGGTTGCTAATGGGGAGAGCAAATTCTCTACCCTAACGCAGCAGGAAAGGAGTGGACATGCCAAGCCATTTGCTCCCTTTTCTGGCCAGTCAGAAAGACTGTAGGTTTGACATTTCACTTTCATTGGCTGAGGATGAGGTTGCTAAGCAACTTCCTTACCTTGGTAAGAATTCTGTACTTCTCAGTACCCAGGCTCCTCCTCCTTCCTCTTTTTCAGTAAGTCTTAGTCTCTCTCTCTCTCTCTCTCTCTCTCTCTCTCTCTCTCACGCACATACTTCACTTGTTCATAGATTTCAGCTCTGGTAAACACTAGGAACATTGACTTCCTTTTCAAATAATTTCTGTTGATGAGCTGCACATACAGTTATATACTGTAATTAACAAACACTGTACTATTCATTAATTAGTCAACAAATTAGTTCTTGAGCATCTACCACCTTCCAGACACAGTGCTGAGCACCATCATGACTATTAATAGTAAGGAGGTGGAATTCAAGCCATGTGACCCCTAACAGGGCACTGGGAAATTCCGATTGGAAGTCAGCTTAGATGACCTCTGTGTATCACGTTGAATTATGGGGATATCTGGAGGGCCTTAGGGGAGGAATTGGGGTATCTGTAATGATGAATTAACTCTAGGCTCAGAGCAGTGGCCATGTATGAGCCATTCAGAAAATTCAACATTATGAACCATTAATGTGTATATCCATGCTTGGCAATGATAATCCTTAATTGAGCATTAACTATTCACTGAATAAACCCTTTCTATACACAATCTTCTACTTTCAGTCAGATGCAGCCCCACCCCAACACACTTGGCATGGTAATCCCAGCACCCCCACTGGCCAGTGGGCTCAGGTAGTGTCTGCATTCCCTCGAGGCAGGTGTGTTTGTTTCAGTTCATGGCTGAGGAAGCTGTGGTTGGGAGAGGCCAAGTACCTTACTCAGGATTGCGTGGCTGGAAAGTAGCGGAGGCTGGAGTCCAGCTTTTGGACTTCAGAGCTCTTGTCTTCTCGGTAGTGTGGCACCCTTGAAGCCACCGTGCCACATGCATACAGGGACTTTAGAAATCATCGCAGTATTATATGCCCTACAGATTCCCCTCACAGGGTTGGCTCCTGGTGGCACTCCACAGCTCACATGACACTTGCCAAACAGCTGGAAGGTCTAACGTGGTCCTCTTGAAGATGACAGGGTTCCCCTAGGCACTGGCATTTGCTTCTTTTCTATGCTAGGGAAGCCATGTTTTACCCTGTGATCATCAAACATCAGAGCTGGAAGGGATCTCAGAAGTCACCACGTACCAGCTTCTTGCAGGGGACTCAAAATAAGACTTTTCTTAGGTCTGTTGTTGAGAAGGGAACCTCCTGAGAAACTCCACCAGTGCTTTCTCATTGGATTAGTCATTTTTATGGAAGCACCGCTCGATGAAGGAAAGAAAGTGAGCAGAACCACAGACTGCACGCATTTTCTAGGCACCTGGACAGTGAACATGTTACATATGCCCAAAAGACCAAGAGGGCACAGGGAGCCAGCCAGGGATGGGAGACAGAGGCAGGGTCCCCCACAGAGTGACCAGGGGAAGGACTGCTTCACAGTGTCCCTGCTGCTGCTACAAAGTGCCTTAGATGAGGTAATGTATACGTAACGGAAATTGATTGCTCACAGTTCTGGAGATAGGGAGTCCAACATCAAGGCAGATTCCATGTCTGGTGAGGGCTCACTCTCTGCTTCCAAGATGGCGTCTCCTACCGACTCCTGACCGCCCACATCATGGAAGAGACAAGCAGTGTGCTCATATGTGGAAGAAATGGAAGGGCCAGGCAGCTCTTGGAAGCTACTTTCATAAGAGTAGTAATTCCATTCATGAGGGTGGAGCCTTGGTGGACCACTCACCTTCCACTTCTCAACACTCTCTCCCTGGGGTCCATGCTTCAAAATGATGTTTTACAGAGACACACGCATCCAACGCCTAGCAGAGGCCGAGAGTGGGAGCATCAGAGAGAAAGTGGACCTCAGGTTTGGAGCAGGTGTGCTTGGGACTGAGGGCCGGGCAGACTGTACCCCACATCCCTCTGCAGTAAATGTCACTCACCCTTCAAAAGGAGCCGCCCATTCATCTGGCTGGTATGGGAGTGAAACCTGCCCATTTCTTCTGGCTTTGTCCAGAGCTTAAGCAACAGGCTAGGTGAGGAAGACACAGAAAAAAGACATAGCTGAGTTTCTGGAAGACTTGTGATGCCCTTTGGTACTGGCTGTAGATTTTCCACGTGGCTGTGTGAAAAAGAAGGAAGTGGGAGAGGCTGATGAAAATGTCATGGTCAGGTGTACTTTAGAGACTGTGAGAATGAGTTAATTTTCTACCATGAAATCCTTTTTCATTAAAGTTCTTGTTTTCCATATTTTCTAAAAGCAGAGATACTTATTTCTCGGAACTTCTGGGCCATTGTGAGTGGCAAAATAGCAAAATCATTTGTGTGAGACATTTTCTCTCTCTCTCTCTCTCTCTCTCTCTCTCTTTCTCTCTCTCCTGTTTTACTTCACTCTTGTAATGGAGTTGATGACACATTTTCTCTTTGAATTTTATTTTGGTTTAACTTTTTGAGACAGGGTCTTGCTACATTGCCCAGGCTAGTCTTGAATTTGTGGGCTTAAGGGATCCTTCTGCCTCAGCCTTTCATGTGTCCCACTAGATTTTATTTTATTTTGTAAGATATGGTTATAAAATAACCCACCTCTTGTGGGTCATTGACTCAGCAGAATCAAACCATATTTTTAAGACCATTGAAAATCAAGCTTGAAATTTCTATTTCACTCTAAATCAACAGTGTTCTGTTCACATCACTGTACTGAGTAGTCAAATTGCCTGATTGTCATTAATAGTAATAGTACAATAATTCACTTTAAATTTCAAACTTTCATATTATTTTTAGGAGCAACTTGTGAATTCTTCAAAGTGTATATTTCTCTGTTTCTGTGAAGAGCAGTGTTTTTTTAAATGAAGTTTATTGGCACATTTTAGATATACATAATGATCACATGCATCACAGGGATTTGGGCCTGTACATGCTTTCTTGATCCTTTCTTCCCCCAATCCCTTCCATCCCCCTTCAAGATCAGTGTTACTTAAATATCATTCATTTGATATTTTTCTGAAATCAATTTATTATCGTTATTTTTATTATTATTATTTTTGTAGCACTAGGGCCTTCACACTGAGCTACATTCCCATTTTATTTATGTTTCATTTTGAGACAGGGTGCCACTAAGTTGCTAAGTTGCCCAAGCTGAGCTTGAACTTGTGATCCACCTGCCTCAGCCTCCCAGAGAGCTGAGATTATAAGGAACACTATGACATCTGACCTCAATTTGTTATTTTAAAAAAAGCTTAAATAACTATCTTTAGGGAGTTAATTTTTAGACAAAAAGTAGGTGTCCCGTCTTTGGCTATACACAGAAGGAAACCCAAAACACAAGCGTAAAATTACTAATTTTTTAAAGATTTGCCCCCGTGCTGCCAACACGTTGTTTATCATTGGTGACACGGGTGCTCACTGTCAGAGCTGGAAAGTGGCTGAATGTGTGAAGCAAGTTCTTGCTCTTGCCTATCTTACTGCCCTTGGCTGGGTCTCAGGCACTAGGATTGACCCTGGGGGTACAGAAATGAAGGAGAATTTTTAGAGGAAATGTCATGGTGTCCAAAGCCCTCCTCAGGGGGCGAAGATTCAAAAGCACAGTGTAATCAAGGTTGGGGTGAGGTACTTTCGCAGGAGTTTTGGGAGGACAGTTTTCTGTTATTTTGAGCTAGTCCTCTCTGCTGTCTGGTTTTTGGATTCTTGTCCCACAGCTTTCTGTTGTTTACTTGTCTTTACCTCCTACCTTGGGTCTGACACTGCCTGTTTGCCCTCAGAATTTGAAGAAAGCAAGTTGCTCCCTGCCTCCTATTTTAATCGTTTCGCTTAGCACCTACTGATGATAGCCATTCTGGTGTTTGTAGTGAGAGTCAGGCACATGGTTTACGTGCTCAGTCCCATACCTGCTGGTCATAGTGTCTGCCTCACAGTCGGTGCTTGAGGACTGGGCAGCATCTCCACCAGCCACGATCACAGAGCACGTATCCTTTCCCTTTGTATCCACAGTGTGGTGCCATGGATAAACTTAGTGCAGCTCTTTGGCACAAAGTTTCTTTATGTCTGTCCAGGCATCCCAGCTGCCCAGGATCCAGTGTGTGAGGCAGGGTGGGCTGCTGTTAGGGTTTATATCTAGTTGTCCACATGGGCCATAGGCAGGGCTTTTGGGAGGGGATTAGACCATGGGGGCACTGTAGCTAACTTGCTGTTAGGAGGTGGGGGCAGATCACTGAGGGTATGACCTGGAAGCGCGACTCTCCCTCCTGGGTTTCATGCTTCACTTTGCTTCCTGACTGCCATGAGGTGAGCCACTTTCCTTTTGCCAGGCCCTCCCACCATACTGCTAAACATGCAAGAACTGAAACTTCTAAAACGTGAACCAAAATAAAACTCTCCTCCCCTCAGTTGCAGGTTTCAGGTATTGTGTGCCAGTGATGAAGAAAGTGACTAAGCCAACTGCCCTGTTGTGTTTTCTAGACTCTGCTTTGCCTGTGGAAATCCTGAGATTTATAACTCTTCTCTTCGAGAGACCATATTGCATGCACCCTCCTTCCCTTCTCTCCCTCACCCTGCCTCTTTCCTGTTCTTTATTCTGTAGCCCCAAGCCCAACACGTCTCTTCTCTTCCCTGTCACTACCTGTGTCAACAACAGAGGCTGCTTCTCGAACAGCGCAGGCAGACTGATTCTCACACGGCACACAGGTCCTCAAAGCCCCAGCTCTCCAGCACTTGTAGCAAAGGCCTTCCTATCTAGCACCCATGCCTATCTGTGTTGATCTTGTCCCCCAGGAGAGGTCCTTAGGCCTGGGATGCCAAGCAGTTCCTGTCATGTGCCAACTCCAAGGGCATATGCTTAGGGACTGGATTGAGGACTATGAAGGCTCAGGTTATGTCTGGGTCCCATTACTAAATGCTGTAATTGATTAGCAATGTCTGCCTACCGCCATGCCACCACAAATGCACCTGATCGTCTGAATCTGTCTCATCTGGGCAAAGGTAGCTAACTGCCTCAGAGTGTCAGATGCACCTCAAGGGTAAAGATCTTTTTACATGACACCCACCCAGAAGTGACCTAAATCTCTGGAAAAATACAGAACATTCCAGTCCAAACTGAATAGGATTATCTTTTCTGTGCTACCAAGAAGCCAAAATCGAGGGAAAGGAGTCTTAACTTTAACCAGTGAGGGGATACAGTTTGGAAAAGCATGGTCTTAGCAGCATACGCAGGGGTGGTTGAGAAAGGATCCTTCTAGAAAATGTGGAAGGGCCCAGACACAACCTCAGCTTTGCCTTTTGTTTCCATCGCTGGGGCCAGGACATCATTTGGTGCAGCTGACTTTTAGGTTGTCACAGTGCCTCACGAGTGCATTCAGGGGCCTGCTGCATCCTCCACTCTGTACTTACTGGGTTTGAGTGCTTCTTTTATCTCAAGTTCCTTCTTAGTTGCAGAGGATGAGGGCCCAGCTGAGCTGAGAAAAGTGTTCCCAGACGACCTTCTGGCCGAGGCTGCTGTTGGGCCCTAGACTCCCGTCCATAGGCTCTTGCAGCCACAGCATCCCATCCAGGCTGGCAGCAGGCTTTCTGCAGTCCATCTGCACTGGCTTCCTGTGCTTCCTGAGCCCATGGGACCATAAAGCCATGCTGAGCCAATCCGTGTCCTCTTCCCTTAGTGCTCATTATTAGCCCTGTGCTGCAGACAGGGGCGGGGGAGAACTTCAAAAGGAAAGGGATGCAAGGTGACAACAGCCCCTGCCTTCACCATCCGGAATGGGAGGAACTGTGTTCTCTTCAGCAACAAATCCCTAGCACCTGGCATATTAACATAAACTGCATACAAGAGAATGCATTTTAGCCCTGCCCCAAATTTCAAAGCAATCTGAGTTTGGGGTGGGGAATTCTGGAGCAGCCCAGCGCCTGCTCACTCCACCCCCTCATGGGGGTTTGGTGAGGCCCACTTTCCCTGTCTGGCTGGCTCAGCGTGGCTTTGCAGGGGCCTTGTGGGCAGTGCCCTGTTGCACTTGCTGTGGACCATCCTGTTAGAGTGGATTCCAGGTGGGGCCCCAAGACCTAAACCATCAGTGCATATTCCCGTCCCGGAGCAGGCCCTCTCCCCTCGCTGTTCTCTGCTTGCCTTTATCCTTCCAGCTCGGTTTGGTGTGGGTACCTGGGCTTCACGGATGTGTAGGAGCAGAAGGAAAGCAGGCAGGGTGTTGGCGTCCACAGGTGCCATGTCTGGGGTCTCCCCCACCTCCTGTCACCTCACTCTTCATCTCCTTACAGGCTCCCCGAGTCACGCTGGCTCCACATCCATGAGCCCGTCAGCAGCTCTGTGCACTGGGAAGCCCATGGACAGTCACCCCAGCTACACGAACACGCCAGTGAGCGCCCCACGAACACTGAGTGCCGTGGGGACACCCCTCAACGCCCTGGGTTCTCCGTATCGAGTCATCACTTCTGCCATGGGCCCGCCCTCGGGGGCACTGGCAGCGCCTCCAGGAATGAATCTGGTTGCACCGCCTAGCTCTCAGGTAGGTGTCCCTCCTCTCCAGGATCCACTCAGCCGCCCTGGCTGGGGCAGGCACTTGCTGTGTGCTTGTGGAAGGGACTGGACATCTCTGCAGACTGTCCTCCTCCAGGGCCTTCAGGCTGAGCAGCCCCAGGAGACTGGGGCCAAAGGCGGCTTCCCTCGTGGTTTTAATGGTTGAGCCCTGGCTGTGATCTCAGCATCTCTCAGGCATGATTGCATCATCTGCCTTCCTCACCATTCGATAGTGAGTATTGAGTGATATTCACTATTGCTCTTGTGAAAGGGAGTATGGAAATGATCAGTATGTAGTCTTGCTCTCCACCAGCTCTCAGCTGAGAGGGGAAGTGGGCAGCAAGGCCCATGGGTAATGTAGAGCAAGGCCACCCATGTTTACACATGTCTCTGAGACTGGAAGTCGGGGAGTTAACTTCCCCTTAGTTCCCAGTGCATCCTGCTATGATGGTGGAAAGGAGACGTGTACATAGCTCATTGGATGGCACCCTGTGGAGCTTATAGGATGGATGGGAGTCTGCAAAGCCACGCTGAGATCACCATCCTTCCCTTCTGGAGAGGCTGCACTGATAATGCTGCACTAAGATGACCCCCAAATAATTAAAAGATGTGTTACGTATGCACCAGTTCCCCAAGATGATTATAATTATTGTGTATTGCAAACATATACCAATTAAAAATATACCATTTGAAAGTAAGGTTTGAATTTTATCTGTTAAAAAATGACCCCCAAGTCGTCAAAGCTCACAGAAGCAAAGCTTTGTCCTCCCACTCACGAGTCTACATTGGGCTGGGATGGCTGTGCTTGTGGTGGTGGTGGTGGTGGGTGTGGGCTCTGTGATGCCCCTGCACAATTCTGCTCCCGGTGTCCACACTAAAGGAGCAGCAGCTACCGGGGAATGTTTTTTGCCTGGTGTCTCAGCAGAGTGCAAGAGGGCAAACCAAATCTAGAAACATAACGAAGCCTCTGCCCACATCTTGGTCTAAGAAAGCCACGTGGCTGATTCCAGCACAGAGAGGAAGGGAAATAGGCCACGTCTATTTTAGTGGGAGGCACTCCAGAGACAGCACAAAGGGTAGGAGGCGACTGGAGCACTGAAGAATTGGGAGCAGTCGTCTCTCTTACTGCTCCTCTTCCTCTCCCCTATAGATCAGCCAGGGTCCCTGCTGCCCCTGACTCCCAACCCCAGTGCACCCCAGGGCAGAACTGGCAGGTGTTTGATGGTCAACTTGAGTGGGACCCAGGGCACCCAGGTATTTGGTTAGACATTATGCTGGGTGTTGTTGTGAGGAATTGAGCTGAACACTGAAGTAGACAGACCGTGTCCTGCAGACTGCCCACCTGCACGTGGGTGGGCAGCGTCCTATCAACTGAAGGTCACGATAGACCCCAGAGGCTGATCCTGCCCCAGCAACAGAGCGCTGTCCTGCCTCAGGGCCCGCCACGGGGGACTGGACATCACCTTCCCTGAGCCTTGGAGTGAACTGAAGTAAAAGTGCTTCCTTCCTAGGTCTTGAGTCTGCTGGCCCCGAGACCACAGCATGGGCAGTCCCTAGGCTCCAGTTTTCCAACTCACCTGCAGATCTTTGAACTTGCCGGCCTCCCAAATCATGGTGATAATTCCTTATCATCCCTTCTCCAAGGACTCTTTTGTGAGAAGTGGCACTTTATGGCAGATTCATGCCAAGCAGTGTTGTCACGGGTGTGGGCGGAGAGCCCCAGGGGAGCAGAGCAGGCCCTATCAGTTCCTGATCTTCTATGCCCCACCCCTTGGGAGAGGAAGGCCAGGCAAAGGAGTGGGAACCAGGCAGTGTTGAGGTGCCCAGATCGCAGTGTTGCGATATTGCACCCTTCAGAATGCGTGAGCACTTTCCACTGTCTCTCCTGAACAGATTCGGGCCTAAGGAGAGTCAGAGCCAGCAGTTAGAAACAGAAGGATACACTGTACTTCTGGAAAGTGTGGTTTTTCAAAAGGCCCTGGGATTCATGTAAATAACAGTGTTTGCCTACTGTGACAGATCTGCTTGACACTGTCAAACGTGGAAAACAAGCACAGACTTAGGTTGGCTAGTATCTTTACTCTTGTAGCAGCAGAAACAGACAAAAACCTAAAGAATAAACAAGATTGTTTCAAAGAGCAATTGGTCTCCTGTGAAGAAATAAAACAAGAGGAGGGGAGAGAAATTGGCAAGGCTGGTGGGTAAGAAACGGGCAAGTGACCATCACTCTGAGGCTGCTTTTAGCAACCATGCCTGACTCCGATTGGCCCATAAATTCATCTTCACAGCCTTGTGAGTGGCAGGGCCGCTATTCCTAGACCATTTGTCTGTACAGAGGGATCGGGGTTGAAAGGTCAGCTGAAAGCTTTGGTCCTGGCCAACTGGGCTGTGTGCAGAGGCTGAGGCCAAGTTCAGCTTTTGGGAGCTATATTAAGCTTGCCAAGTGCTGGCAAAGCTCAGCAGCCTCAGACACTGAACAGTGTTCTGGGCTTGGGCTCCCGAACCGCACAGCAGCAGAACTTTGCCCAATTAACTGGACAACCCAGGACAAAGGCTTGTGTTAGCCACGGTGGCTTGGGCTCTGAGGACTCTGGAGAGCTCACTCCCATGCTTCCTGACTTTGTTGTCCAGGACAATCTGAGCAGGACTGGTGACAGAAACACACTTCTGCTGTGACCTGGTAAGCACGATTTGGGGTGTGTGGAGGAGAGAGTGCTGGTGTGGGGCAGCAGGTAAGCTCTCCTACGCTGTGCTGTCATTTGGCTGCATGAGCTTCTCTCTCTGCCCTTGTTGGGCTTTCAGTCTTGAGGAGAGAGGAGAACTGAATTGGCAGTGGAGGCAGGGACGGACCGAGTGACCTTTCACAAACAACTTGAACTTGAACTTGCTTCTGTTTGAGTTTCCTTTTCACTGTTGTGAGGTTACAAATACTTGCCCTGGTTGCCCTAGGATAATTTTTATGAATGTCAAAAGAGATATGGATTCGAAAAGGCACTTCTGGAGGTGTACAATTCCCTGTGGCACTCAGGTGATATTATTATTATCATTTATGCACTCAGGTGATTATTGATTCACATGTGCTGTGTTCTAAAAGGATCCAGAGTAGTTCATTTCAGTAAGTGTTCATGGAGCCAGGCACCAGGAGATACACAAAATATATGTTTCCGTTCCTACCCTGAGAAATTTCCAAAGATAACAATCATATAGGTAGGAAGATATTTGTGCACCTTTAGATAAAGTGACTTAGGCTCTACTTTTCAGAGTGTGTGCACACTCATGTGTAATGCTGTGTATTCGTCTGTCTGCCTGCTGGCTCTGAAAGGACCTCTGAGCCCTTGGAGCCCTCTAACCTTTTCCTCTCCTCTGTCCCCAGTCCTGAGTTCTGTCCCTGCTCATTTCTGCTTAGGTATTTATGGATAACTGAATTAGTATCCCCTCAAATCTGCTTGCATTTTTATAGTTTAAACTTAGATAATAAAAATTGCAAATATTATAGCTGGAATAGACCTTGAAACTGTCTAACCTTATGATTAAAAAACAAAAAACAAAACAAAACCAAAGCCGTAAAGCTATTTCTTCAAAGGAAAGCATATTTGAAAGCCCAGTGTATATGTCAACTATAGACAGGTTTGATTAAAACAAACTTCAACCTGTCCATTTTCGGGACACACACACACACACACACACACACACACTCACACACACATTTTAGGTTTGTGAATCACTCATTTAAACTAGATGAGACATGTCTAACCTTATGATTAAAAAACAAAAAACAAAACAAAAAAAAAGCCGTAAAGCTATTTCTTCAAAGGAAAGCATATTTGAAAGCCCAGTGTATATGTCAACTATAGACAGGTTTGATTAAAACAAACTTCAACCTGTCCATTTTCGGGACACACACACACACACACACACACACACACACTCACACACACATTTTAGGTTTGTGAATCACTCATTTAAACTAGAGATGAGACATGAGAAAATGTCTCTGTTAAGAGAAGGGACCTGGTCAAGGTTACAAAGCTAGAAGGGGGCAGGTCCAGACAGACCCAGGGTGGAAGCCAGGCCTATGACTCCTATGACAAAGACCCTAACTAGATTAAAGAAGCTACCCACTGGGTCTGTACCCCGGAACGGGGCACACCTGCACCCTGGCCCCCAGGGGAAAATCATTTGAGCTGTCTCAGACACGTGGGCTCCAGAGACATGCAGAAAGCACTGGGTTCCCAGCTGAGTCTGCAGGAGGAGGACCCAGCAGCCCGGTTGCTTCTGTCCTATTCTGGGGAGCAGGCAGCTTGCTGGAGGGTCAGACCACCCGGAGAGTCCTGGCTCTAAAGTGCTTATTTCAGCCGAGCTGCTGGAGCTGCTGCTAATGGAACAAGACCGCCTCGGTTGAGGGCCTGCGGGGCCAGGCAGTCAATGGCAGTTTTTGATCTCCTCTGCCATTGCTCTGAGCCCCCATAAGCCCCAAGCCGGCCAGAGAGATGGCAGAGGAAAGAATATCAACCCACTTCTCTCAATACTCTGCCCCACTGCTGTCTGGACTCGTGAAGAAGAGGTGTGCTGGAAAAGGAGGCGTTCCCAATAGCAAGCTTCTTCCTCCTCCTCCAGGGATTCCTGGGCAGGGAGGTGAGGCAGGAAGTTGCTAGGGCAGGGGAGGCCTGAGGATCTCCTGCCATCGAGGACAGAGAATGCAGGGAAGGAGGAATGATGACCAGGACCCAGGAGCCTGGGATTCTAGCTCCAACCTTTATACCTGGCAAAGTTACATGTACTAAGCTAATACCTGGGCAGGTGCAATAGCCTCGGGTGTTTCCTCCCATCTTTCCCCATGCTGCTGCCTCAAATACTTCACAGAGCAGAATTTCAAGGGCCTTATTTCTCAAAACAGCTATGGCTCCTTTTTGCCTCTCAAACTAAATGCAGCCAACCTCTAGGCTCTGCCGCAGCCCACCTCTCGGCCCTTATCTGCTATCTGCCTACCAGGCCCATTTACTCCGCAATACGTTGGCTTCCTTGTAGGCCTTTGCTCTTAAAGCCTTTTCCCACTATGGCCCATCTAAAGCCCACCCAATTTTGAAAGCGAGTGGGCCCAGATCTAATGCTGCTTCCTTCGGGAAGCCCTCTGATCTCAGCAGTGTGCAACATGTCCTTCCTAAACTATCCCAGCTAATCTTAATCCGGTGGCCAGTTCCTTGAGGTAGTGTTTGCACCTCCTTCCTTTCTGTATCTTCACGGTGTTCTGAGTGAACTAACGAGTAAACACATTTATGGCTCAATGTCTCTTGTATGAAAAATAGACATCTTGGGGTTGTTGTGAGCATGAAAATGATTAACACTGAGCAAGTTTTCTGTAGATGGTAGCAACACAGCAATCACTCTGTGACTGTTACAGGCCAGGAAGGGTGGAGCTGGTCCTTCTGGAGGAGGGCATGGGAAGGGAAAGTCCTCTAAAATTTTTTTTTTGGGGGGGACAAGATTTTGCTAAGTTGCCTAGGGCTGGCCTTGAACTCCTGAACTTCCTGCCTCAGCCTCCCAAGTGCAGGGGTTTCAAGCATGTGTCATCATACCAAACTGCAAAACCCTGTTGAGGTGACTGTGGTCTCTTCCCCATTCCCATGACTTTTCTTCCATCTAAGGATTGGGGAAGAGCCATGGTCAGCTAGAGGTTCCTCTGCCCTCACAACTTCCATTTTATGAGGAGGATCCAAGAGCTCATTTCTACTTTTTTTGAGGCATTTTTGGAAAATCTCTTGCCCAGAATTCATCATGTCAGGATTGACATGGCACTAGTGGTTCTGAGTGAGTATGTTAGTGTCATTTGGCAAGCTGGGAGGAATGCCAATGCCAAAGCCTTCTTCAGGCGCTGAGCCAGTGTCCCAAGGCATGGGCCCACACAGCAGTCCTCCAAGCTCCCGGATGTGCGCCTGGGTTGAGAAGCACTGCACTACACTAGGCCAGGGCAAACCACAGGGCACAAGTTCCAATGCCTCCTCTTTGCTTTGTGTCAAGGGGAAGGGGGATTGGCCCACCATGTGCGTTTCCAGCCATTGTACAAATTAATCTTTAAAAAGTCCTGGTGAGTTTGGTTTCAAAGCAGGGTGCTGACGACTGGATCTTTCCTTTTTGTATCTCTCGCAGCGTTTAACCCAGAGCCTCTGTGCACCTGCTTTGCTCAATAAATATTTGCTTAGTGAATTGAAAAGCCACTGCGTTTAGAAGGAAGCTAACTCAGGTTCTGTTATAGTCTATGTTTTATTGATCACTGCTTCTGTCCTAAAGTCCTTGCATAGTAAAGAGAATTTTTCCTTTGGTTTGCTTTGAAAATTACAGTCAATGCAGTTAGGCAGAACCATTTAAAATTCAGAGGAAGCCAGTGGAACCTCCTCCTACCCTGTATCTTCCAAGTGTCTCTTCTAGGTACTCAGACATGTCCAGACACCCCTCACCTTCATCTGACCTTGCTTTTAAGTGTTCTTAGTTTTTGTGCATGCTCTGATTCCTCAACAAGATTGTACATTTTGGTGAGAGAGAGAGAGAGAGAGAGAGAGAGAGAGAGAGAGAAAGAGAGAGAGACTAGGTTTTTTGTCTGTTTGTTTTGTTTTCTAGTATTGGAGATGGAATCCTTTTCCACTGAG